ATAGTAACCTTCGCGCTGTGGGAGTTCACCACCACTCGACCACCCTTACAAGAAATTCTCAAGGGAGTACTGGGTTTGGTTCCTGAAAAATAACTACCACTGCCATAAAAGCCCAAGAAAAATCAAAACACACTAGTATAATAAAAATGGCATTCATAAAGAGAAAACAAACAAAAAGGCTGTCTACAACCCAAAGAACTAACAAACACAGAAAACAAACAGGAAAGCAGAAAGCAAGGAACAAAAGACACCTAAGACAACCAAACAATCATCAATAAAATGCTAGGAATAAATCAACACTTTTCAATAACAACTCAATGTAAAAGGCTTAAATTCCCCAATCAAAAGACATAGACTGGCTGACTGGATTAAAAAGGAGGACCCAACTATATGCTGCCTTCAAGAGACCCACATCACCCATAAACTCACATAGACTAAGAGTGAAAGGATGGAAAAAGATTTACCATGCAAACAGAAAAGAAAAACGAGCTGGAGTAGCTATTCTTATATCTGATAAAATAGACTTTAAACTAAGAATCATAAAAAGAGATAATGAGGGCCACTACATAATGATAAAAGGATTGGTCAATCAAGAAGACACAACAGTCATCAAGAGTAAACTCTAATGTAAACTATGCATTTTAGATGATAATGATGTGTCAGTGGAGTTTCATCAGTTCTAACAAACATACCACTCCGGGTCATCGGTGTTGATAGTGAGAGAGGATGTGCATGTGGAGGCAGGCAGTACATGGAAACTGTACCTGCCTCTCAATTTTGCTGTAAACATAAACCTCCCTAAAAATCAAGTCTATTGGGCTGGCTGGTTAGCTCACTTGGTTGGAGCATGGTGCTGATAACACCAAAGTCAAGGATTTGGATCCTCTTACTGAACGGGAGCTCCCCCATCCCCCCCCAAAAAAAATCAATTCTATTTAGAAAGAAAAAAAGTCAATGAATTTAAGATGTGGCATGCTTCTCCAACCATCCTGCAATTATCTGGGGCAGAGCAGGTGCTGGTGGTGAAAGACTTTTCAACATGTCAGCCATTCAGAATATTCTTAGTTTCTGAGTCCCAATCTCACTCATCCCCTAAAGCCATTTCTCCACCATCTTAAGCAGCCAGTATTACTGATGAGAATGGTTTAGATTATTTGTTTCTTCATACGTGAGGGAAATAAAGTGAGAATCACTTGTTTCTCTTTGCCACTAAATTCTTTTTGTTGTTGTTGTTTTGTTTTGTTTTGCTTTTCACAGTTGTGCAGAATACTAACATTAATAAAGTACGTGTATTTCACACGGCCTTAAGCTCTAGCTTAGTAGGGTCAGAGCCCTTAGTTTTAGCAGGGCCAAAGCCCTGTAGTTTAAGGAATAGCCTAACTTTTTAGAATTACACATAGATTTTGGGACCAGCCTGTGGCTCCCTCGGGAGAGTACGGTTCTGATAATACCAAGGCCACGGGTTCGGGTCCTATCTAGGGATGGCCAGTTCACTCACTGGCTGAGCGTGGTGCTGACAACACCAAGCCAAGGGTTAAGATCCCCTTGCTGGTCATCTTTAAAAAAAAAAAGAATTACACATAGAAATGCTAGTTTGAGAAAAACAGAAAACTTTCCCAGGACTAAAGTCTCTGTCGTAAATTAAAAAAAAAAGGTAACACAGCAAAAATGATTGCTCTAAGGGCAGTCATCCTTGGTGCAGTGAAACCTCATGATGGGAAAGTATGTGAGCTAAAAGCTTCAAGGTTAATGGTTGGGGGATGTTCCGCATCTTGCCTTCAGTTGTTTCTTTAAGTTTCTTGGGGAATTAAGTGTTGTCATGATGATTATCTCATTGTTTCTTTTTGTACTTCACATAGCCTAATTTTTTGACTCCTGCTATGACTTATTATCCACCTGTGTTCTTTTCTGTAACTTTCTTGCCTGGACAATAAAAACTGAGAGAAAACATGATTCAGGGTTATTCCTTGGATCTTTCTCTCTTGAAGGAATCCCTCCTGGGATTAACACCTTCGGGCCTCCCACTGCTCTGGAGAAATGGGCTTTGAGTAATCCTTTGCATCTCCATCACCCTGGGAGAGGTGACAAAGGTTAGTCAAGTGAAGCAGTGGGAATGGAGAAGGAACAAAAAATGTGTAACTGGTTGTGGTCAATTAGTTATAAACACCATTGCACTTGGACCAGCCCCATTAAATTCTTGACTCCTTGTATGCAGGAACTGACAAGGTTTTCACTCTTGTCAAAAACCAGCATTTAATGAAGAGTCTGACATTGAGAAGGAAACCAGATTATAAACGAAGTACAGTTCTTAGTCATTAGGAGTCTTCCATTCTGTCAGGCATACTCCATATTCTTGCTACATAAACTATATTAACATTTCATTTGGAATAGTAAATGAGCTGGAGGGAAAAGCAACAGAACTGCAAGACTGGTCTGGATAAGTTATTTGTTGCCCTCTCGTGTCCAGTTTTAGAAAATACAGCCTCTCCCCTCCACACTCAAGAATTCCAACTTTCCTTTAACTGAGAGCTTTTTTATATTCTAAGAAACACACTGTTTCTCTACACTCTCGCACAGAACACTTTTGACACCAGAAGTTTGGGTTTTTCCCACACTGACCAATTCCCTGACACCAGCTGGGTACCCTACAGTTCAACTCAGTACTGACAGCATTCTGGAATTAACATCAGATCCCACAAGTTAAAGGCTCTGCCCCACAATACTCTTCCACTTCAGATGCCATTTGAAAGTCCAGGCCCCCAGTACTTCTGACTGACCAGTTATAAATTAGGGGTTCCTATGACCCCACCCTCCTTTGGGTTCCATAATTTGCTAGAACAGCTCACAGAACTCAGGAAAACACGTTCCTTGCCAGTTTATTATATGGGATACTAAAACAGGTAGATGAGGAGTGAGATGAAGAGATATATGGGGCAAGGCCCGAGAGGGCCCTGAGCACAGTTGCTACTGTTCCCGTGAAGTCGGGCTGCTCCACTCTCCTGGCAAGTAGATGCAGTTCACCTACCTGGAAGCCTACTAGGTCTTATTGTTCAAGAGTTTTATAGAGATTTATCTCCAGCCCCCTCCCCACTTCCTGGAGGCTGGTGGATGGGGCTGAAATTTCCAATCCTCTAATCACTTGATCTTCTTGGTATACAGCTCCAACCTGAGGCTATCTAGGGACTCCACCCTAAGTCGTCTCATTAGCATAAACTCAGGTGTGATTATTATGCAAGAGCAGGGGCTTCTTATGAATTACAAAAGACACTCCTATCACTCAAGAAATTCCACGGATTTTAGGAGCCAGGAACCAGAGACAAAGACTAAATGTATTTCTCATTATACCTTATTTATTCAGTATATCTTTTTTTGTATGTATGTGCTCTGCTGACCAGTAGGGGGATCCGAACACTTGACCTTGGTGTTACCAACACCAGCTCTACCAAGTGAATTAACCGGACAGCCCAATTCAGTATATCTTTTTGATGCACAGTATATGTAAGCCCTTGCGCTTGGTTTGGGTCATACAATGGTGAACAAAGCATCTGTCGTCAATGAGTCCGCATTATAGCAGAGACATTCAGGAAAATAATCCAAAGGAGATTTTACCCAAACTGAGTTATAAATGATAAGTAGAAATTAGTCAGATGAACATAATGATTTCAAAGTGGAAAATTAAGGGTTGTGGTGGAGGTGTTCCAGATAGAATATAGCATACACAATGGCTTAGAAGCAGGAGAGAGCCTGGAACTTTCAATGAACTGCAAGTAATTCAGTGTGGCTGCAAAGCAAGGTACAAAAGTTTTGGAGTGGGTAAATTGGAACACTGATGATGCAAGACAAAAATATTATGAATAGCCATGTGTGTGGTGCTAAGGAGTTTCATCCAGATGCTAAGGATAATGAGAGGTCTTTATGGTCTTTAAACCAGGGAGTGACTTAATAAGATTAGTGCTAACGAGATTAGCTGCTTTGTATTAGGAATAATAGGTAGAAAAGCACAGGAACTGGGAGATCAGCTAAGACTCTGCTAGAGCAATGACTGGACTGCACTAAAGTGGTGATGCAAAGAATAGAGAGAATGGATGGATTTGAAAGATATCAAGGAAGTAGGCTCATTCCAATTTTGGTGACAAAGGGTGTGAGTGTGTGTGTATTGTTGGTGTGTGTGTGTGTGTGTGTGTGTGTGTGTGTGTGTTGTTGGAACTCAAGGTGAGGGAAACAGAGAAATTGAGGACTGAGGATAATTCATTTCTTTTTTTTTTTTTTAAGATGACCAGTAAGGGGATCTTAACCCTTGACTTGGTGTTGTCAGCACCACACTCTCCTAAGTGAGCTAACCAGCCATCCCTATATAGGGATCCGAACCCGTGGCCTTCATGTTATCAGCACCACACTCTCCCAAGTGAGCCATGGGCCGGCCCTCCAATTCTTTGTCAAAGATTATTTTTAGTGCCATTCACCACCATCCTACCCCACAACCTCCCACTTTTTTTTTTTTTTTTGTCCTTTTTGTGACCGGTAAGGGGATCGCAACCCTTGGCTTGGCGTCGCCCGCACCTCGCTCAGCCAGTTAGCGCACCGGTCATCCCTATGTAGGATCCGAACCTGCGTGGCAGGAGCGCTTCTGCGCTCCCAGCACCGCACTCTCCCGAGTGCGCCACGCGGTCGGCCCCAACCTCCCACTTTTAAAAAATGATTTCCTGTTCTAAAAGTCATGGGCAAAAGATGGAACCAGTGTTGCATGGTTCCAAAACTGCTCTCTCCCCAAGCTATCTTTGGACTTTATTTGGTGGTTGATGGAGTTTGGATGTGTCGTCCCCTCCAAAACTCATGTGGAAATTTGATCTCTAATGTGGCATTGTTGGAAACTGATTGAGTCATGGGGGTGGATCCCTCATGAATGGATGAATGCTCTCCCTGGGAGAGGGGAGATTAATGAGTGAGTTCTTGCTCTATTAGTTCCTGCGAGAGCTCGTTGCTTAAAAAGACCCTGGCACCTCCTCTTGCTTCTCTCTCTTGCTTCCTCTCCCCATGTGATCTGCTTGTACCCACCGGCTCCGTGACACTTTCCGCCATGAGTAGAAGCAGCCTGAGGCCCATGCCAGATGCAGCTGTCCCAGAATCGTAAGCCAAATAAACCTCTCTTCTTTATAAATTACCCAGTCTCAGGTATTTCTGTTATAGCAACACAAAACGGACTAACACATTGGTTAATGAATTGAGAAGTGAAATCAATTTGACTGCAAGGACTTCATATTACTGTAGATGTCATGATTAAAATTGCTTCCCCTAATGTACTGATGATTCTGATGTGCAGCTAGGTTTGAAAACTGCTGGAACAGAGAAATAGTAACCTGCCGAAGAATTCTCATTCTTCAGAATGCGAGGATCACTATTTCAATCTGATATTTAATACTGGATAATTCTACAAAGACTTTTCTAGAAGAGCTCTCAGAAGTTATTTTACCCACTTCTGCTTCCAGGTAGGGAAGCAACTAAATTTCATTTAGCCAATTTCCTCTTGCTCTGCTGTTCACGAGCAGGGAGAACATGCCTGAATTTACTATGATTCTCTATAGAGACTATTCTGTTTTTTCCCATTCTCTCTCTCCTTTCCCATCCCTTTAATGCTTGGTTTATGCTGCTCCTATTTGGACCTCCCTATTTTTTGTGTTGGGCTTCTCCAGAGTGCCGGGATGAGAAATTTGCTTGCACAAGACTCTACTCTGTGCATCGGCCAGTCAAGCAATGTGTTCACCAGCTGTGCTTCACCAGGTAAGAGGTTTCCGAATGCACAGAGCGCACCTTCCATGATGGTGTGTTTGTGTCAGTAACTATGTAATGGACACCCACTATGGAACTGTAATCTTTGATGGGGCAGAAGTCTGTAGCATAACCCTGCTAGCTGTTCCTAAAGGTGTCAGTTAGAAACTGGAGACTGGGTTGAGGCACACAGAGAAAAAGCTGACTAACAGATGCCAGAAGGTAAGTTTAGGCGAGGGACAGAGAAAGGAGAGTCATGAGGAAAACACTGGTATGTTGAAGTTATTGCCAGACGGAAAGAAGCTGAAGCAAAAAACTCTGAAGACAGAAAATAGTGGGAAGGAATATTCAGCTTGACTCTAGGTGAAGTGTGCAAAGTTACAAAGAGTAATTAATACCATTCCAT